CACTGGTCCCGTCCCACCGGACGCCTGCGAGTTACAGGAACGGGAAACCGAGAGCGCCAGCGACCCCTTGATCGTCCTACCTTCCATGCAACTGCACGTCGTCACTTCTCTCCCTTAGAGGATTTCATTTCTGTGCCCAGGGGTTTAATTTCACGCTTACTTCCCTTATTTTATGTCTGGGGTGGTTCCTCCTTTCATGAGAAAGTTGATGTCCATAATACCACATTTAATTGATGCGTGGAAAAAATTCCAAAGGATCACAATCTGTAGGAAAACTCAAAAGTTATTCACATGTCAAAGAAAAATATTTCCTTCCCACTACTAATCACATTAAAAGAACAGGAATCAGGAAATAAATCAACAATGGGAATGAGAACAGTGTGCTGTGCACAGAATAGATATCCCACTAAGCAAATCCTTATTTACATTTCTATCTCTCCATATCACTTTAGTAAAGATAGCTACAACTCAGTTTATCACTCTCATTTGTTCCAAGTGAGATTCTGATCAGAGACTAACTAAAGAAATTTTCAAATAATCCCAGAGGAACAAATCCAAAAATAAATCACTTAACGATTAAAGAATTTTGGTTTTGTGACAGTACACATTCTATTTAACAGAATTCAAAGTGCAATGCTTGCTCTTTGGATTTCAAAGGCAGATCAAATCCAACAGCCAATTGCATCCTAGTAAGAGACTTTTCCTCCACATCCCTTTGTACATTTTTCCCTTTGAGACAGGGTTACATGAAAGGGAAGAATATACACAACTTACTGAGACTGTTCTTTTCCCTCCCTAACACACTCATCTTCCAGTAGCCAAGGCTTTTCCCTTTGGATTTACCACTATCTTAGTAAAGACAGAACTTACCTTATGTTCAGATCTTATCAGCTGATAAATTTCAAACAATTAAAGACACAGAACTTAAGAGTTGAGTTGTGCTGCTACTTTGTGTCCTTAATACCTAATCCACAAAAAAAGGTTATCATGTCACTACTTCCTATGTCCTTTTTCACATTAAAAAATGCACAATTTTCAGCACCGAATTAAAAATTTGATTCAATTTGAGGAATAAATTGCCCCTCTGGCTTGGAATATAGACACCACTGAAGCAGGTTACAGAAATACATCCCAACACAGATGTGTTTGAAAACACTCAGCATTCAGAGGCTTTATCCTGTGTCCATAAAAGTGAAACTTTTAATTATGCTATTTTAACGCAGTCAATACTAGAGATTTCATTTTAGTGAACGGGGGAATTCTCAATCCCTTTTGCACACAAGTAAACCAAAACCACAGCTACAGCGAGTGCAATGTCCCCCTCCAGCCCTGCCTGCTCCCACAGTTCTTCCCACAGCACTGTGTGGTTCATGGCCCAGACCCTCCCACTGGGAAGGGATCCCTGCCAGCCCATCGCCTTCCTGAGAGCAAAGTCTGAGCACTGAGCTTTGCCTCAAAACATCCACTAGCACTTTTTAATAAAGGTAAAATACTACTTAATATTTTTTACACATTTTGGAAAAGATAACTCATTAACAGAAGTGACATTGAGTTTAGACCCATTTTCACATCCTGCAGACAGGATAAATACCTTTTCCTATTCATTCAAAAACTGTCCCTACATTTGAATGATATAATGTACCAAGATAAACTAATTTTTTGTCCGTAACATTTTATTTTGTTTACAATTTTAGCATAGTATTTTTTTAAACAAAGGCATCTCAAAAACTGTAAATTTTTTGTAGAAATGAAAATATTATTGTTTCCAACATTAGAACATATTGAAAACAAAAACAAGTTATTAATGATTTAATGAGTTTAGTTGCATACAACTTGCCCAACAATCCCAGACAACTAAATTACCACAGGTATAGAATAGCTAATCAGATAATATGGAAGATATATGTAAGTACATACTTAAGATGCAAGTGAATTTAAATTCTGATTTTTACCTGCTTGAATATTAATTATCTGTGTGTGAAACTGGCACCAGTTAGGTGTTTACATTACAGCAGAATAAAAAAAATTATATGTGTTGGTCACATGACTCCTTCATATATATTTTCTAAAATTTTTACAGTGATGTCTTCTTTATTGCAGGCTGGGATGGTGAAGACTGTCAGATTTTGCTTTGGTAACACTGCCACTGCCCTGACAAATTTACTTCTCTTCCATGGATTACACTGCTGCCTAACTGAGAAAACAAACTACCTGAAACTAAAACAACATTGAATTTGATTTCTAATTCAGCTGTGGTTTTTCACTCTGAGCTGACAGAATGAAACTTGAACACAACATTAATGAAACCAAGTCCTAGTCCATAACCAGAAATCCCAGGCATTATGCTATTACAAATAAATGTTTTCATCTCTGACAATGACTTTTACAAGTTTGTTTTCCCAATTATTTGCTCTCTAGATGATTCACCCAACCCTGAAGATAACATCTTTTTCCTTTACATAGTGCAGCACCTTTTAGTTCTGTAGCATGTGAAAGTGTTAACTTCAAAGCACAGTGTAACATTGCCCACACCTGATTACTACTTGTATTATGCTTTGAAGATGTAAAAGTTTATGATTACTGACTAGTAAGTTTTGAACTAATACCAAAACTGGACTAATTACTACTGAAATGAGTGTGGAAATCATTCAAAGTTATACCATGCAATATTACTACTCCAATGTTAGTCACCCTGGGTGGGGGCTGAGGGAGAAACCAATTATTTCCTTTGAAAAAAGACAAAAAAAATCTCTGAAGTATTACAAAAATTAACCATATGAACATTCAGCCTTAAAATTAAGTGTAATCTTTACATAGTTTAATATACCTCTTATAAATCTTCACCCCAGATATATAAAGCATAGTAGCTGTTCACAATTAAAATGCAGGAAAAAACCCAAACTGGTTTTAACAAGTATGGTCCATCCTTACCTGAACTTTTGGTTCAAGCTGTGAGATAGAAGTCTTCATGTATTCCTGCAGTTGATGCAACAAGAAATCATGACCGTGACAAATTAAAATGAAACATCTCTTTCCCCAACATAGGCAGGAGCATCATCTATTACAGATTTCCAGATTACTGAAGTTTCTGCTAGGTTCACCCACACAGCAGAACCTGTCTTTATTGGATTTATCCATGACTGATGTATGGGATTAGGTGTATCCAACTGGATTCACTGTCTAATTATTTTATTGCAAAACCTCCACTCCCCAGGTATTGGCTTCAGTTGTATTACAGCACAGCACCACAGAACAGAACATTTTCACTCTGCTTCTTTCCAGAAGTGCACAGCTCTAGCACATTTGTTGCCCCACATACCCAACAACTGTAGCAAGTACTTCCAAAGCCATTAATAAATTCTTACAGATTTCTGTAGCAATGGTGGCATGGAATCCAAACAAAAAGCACTCATTTAAATCAGGAAAAAAATTCAAACTAAGCACAAATGTATTTTGAAAAGGAACATATTGGTCCTGATTGCAAGCAAACCTTAATGGGCTGACAGCAAGGCTCAAAGACACTCCTTTGCATCAGTGAGTTGCATCCATCCAGCATCCTTTAGTCCCAGATGGCACATGTATTGAGTGTCCTTTTAACAAGTCTGAGGGCTCCAAGAGCCAGTACTGACTGTAAGTAAAATCCATCTGAACACTGGCCAGCATCCCACTGATGTGCTCTCACTGTAAAGCTGCAGAGTACAACTTTTCCAGATTAGACAGCTAAACAGTATAATACCAAAAGTAAATTTCACCATAGCATGCTTTATCTTTCATATAAACCTCCCCTCCTCCTCCTTCCACATTGTTTGGTGCATGGCTTACACAAAATCACAATCCAACCCTAGGAAACGAAAATGAGGTACACATTTCAGAGTAAGGGTTTGGCTGTTTCACAGTGATCATTAAGTCACTTTACTTGGCATTGTTTCAAATGCTAAGTCACCTTTACTCGGCTTTGTTTCAACTGAAAACAATCTTGCCATACAAAATGATCAACCAAGCATTACAATTCACAGTCCTCCTTTGTGGAGATTTACAAAATCTGAAGAACATAATTTATATTTGTGATTTTCAGGGACATTTTCCATTGTGGCAGAAATTCCAGTGTTTCAAAATGCAGCTCACTTAGCCACATGCAACTACTGAAATCCCATCAAATACCATTTAAGGCATTTGATGTTTAGAATTCCTCAGATACTCCTTTAAAAGTACCTCAGTGTAGTAAATACAACTATATTCATTATCCACAATGTCATGCAGATGTGCACTTTATTAAAGTAAAAGAATAGAAAGAATTCATGAGTAAGTCACTTGAGCACTTTGAATGTAATTATGGAAAACCCACAGATAATCTTATCAACTCAATATTTAAGAAACAGACACATCCTTATATATGTTTCTTGTGAGACAAAGCAACAATACAGTTCACTAACCAAACTTTATGCTCTATGTACCTGGTGTACCAAAATCATCAGGGGTACCATAAATTCAGAAATCTGTCTTCGCTGAGCAGCTCCTCCATGGAAGCACAACAGCAAAGTAATACAAAATTTGTTTGTTGAAACACCAGTGAAGATTCTCCTGAAAGTGCCAGAGTTTATTTTCATACTTGGGGAAGAATGGCTGAATAAGTAATCTCTAATCATGACTACATGAAATTCTTACTACCTCAGCCTCTGCCTGTAGCCTTTCACTTTATGAAAGCATTTCAGCAGCTGGTACACAATCTACAGCAGCTTCTGTGCAGCTCTCAGGTGCAGAATGTCAAGTTATAAAAACACATAAATACTAAATGCAATTCCCAAGAGGAAAGAGAGCAGGTCAAGCCCAGATATGTTGTTTGCAAGCAATAACAACCCCAGTGCACAGCAATCCAATCCAACATCACTCTGGCTGCAAAGATGTCAGGTCACAAAAAGTGTCCAGTAAGCCAAAATAAAAACAGGGCTTCAGTAGTCTTTTTCTTCTTTATAAAGGAAATGAAGAAGACAGACTGTTCATTAAATATAAAAGCAATTTTATAAAAACACATCAGAATTTTATTGCTTGAAGAATACAGCATATGAAAAAGCACAAGAATGTCCAAAAAGAAAGGTCACAAAAATTCAAACATTACACCATACATACCAGATGCAGTAAAATGTTAACCTGATTTCTGCATCAGAAAAGAAAGGTGTGAAAATATACCTAGTATTATTTAGAAGGAAAAGACTCATTTAAAATAGAAAGTGTGAAGGTGTTACAGTACAAATTAGAAAAGCCAACACTGCACATTAACATTGTATCACTAGACTAGATTTTCTACCTTTGGTACTTAAACCTTTACAGAAAACCACTTCCTCAGTCAAACCTTGCCTAACATTTTATCTGGTATCCAGGAAAGTTGTTTTTTTTTTTCTTTTTTAAACTTAAACATTTAAACAAATACTCTTCTGAATTTTCACTGCATTACTAGTTTTAAAGACATGTTCACATTTATTCAATATGCAACTTAAAACATCTCAAATTTAAATCAAAAGTCACTATGTGACTGAGATCTGAATACATGCCAATTGTATCTTGTTCAGATCTTTTTGTAAAAATGGGTCCACCCTTTGCTGTTTGCATCCTGATGTAAACAGACTGCTGCAGCCCTCCTCAAGAATTCCAACTAGAGCAACTCATGAGGACATCATTTGGTAAAACCATCCCCATCGTCTGAGAGCTATGAGGTCAACTACAGCAGCATGCAAGTGGCTTTTCTAGTCTGCTCAGATTAGTGTACCAGAAGATATGCCAGTATTACTTCAAGTAACACATTAAAACTCAGCAATGGACACTACTGTGCTTTATTTCAACACAAAGGACAGCTGCTCATCCATTAAATCAACAGAACTATCAAAAGGACAAGTATATCATTTCTGTTTCATGTATTGCTACTGATCACTCTTGGGGAACAATTTATCAGAAACCTGGACTTACCTACAAACCAATTTGAGTGAAGAAAATGTTGTCTCTCAACAAGGTATCTTAGTAATCCAGTGGCAATCTAGTCTGGAGAATGTTAGCATTATGCTGACAATGACTAATCAAGGTTAAATAAATTCTCTCTTTTTTGACAAACATGCTGTTAGGGTCAGCTTTTGCCCTCTTGGTCTTAAATACGTAATCACTCCCTGTCACATCAGCAGAAAACAATTTTGTTTCTTTAAGTTCCAGCTTTATATTTCAACAATATGAATAAATCTGGACTACAAAATACCATCAACAACAGTTAACATTAAACTGGAGTGAAGTAAAAGAAGAGTTAGTTCTTCAAACCAGGCAGTCTTTGAAGTGAAATACTCAGTTAGGACTGTCAAAAGGATGTCATAATAAAACCATGGGTTTATTTTTTTTCCACCCCTATACAAAAAAAAAGACTGAATTTGTACAACTCCTATTAAACATACCTTTTCCTAGTTTGGTGAAAATGTATAATTTTCAAATTTTAACAAGTGTGGTATTCGAGCATATATAATATTTATTGCCATATACATCCTCATTTTAAAAAGAACTAAGAATTCAGACCCTTCTATGTTGAACTCTACTTTTTTTTTCATGTTAACAGATTATGCCTACTGTACCACTCCCCCAAAAAACAATTAAAAATTCTAAGATTTCATAGTTTAGTTAAAAGGGAAGAAATGCAAATGTGGATTTAGAGCTTTTTGTATAAATCTCACTATATTTTATAAACATGTTGTTTATTGTAACACTGTTTATTGATCAAATAAATGACGCACTGCTATCTAAAATTTCCATATACACCATTAAAAATCCAAAGTTGATATGATACTGAACCTTAAATCTTCAAGAGTTCAAAAAAGACAGTTTATACATGTACAGCACACAACAGCAGACACCCCTAGAATACCAACTGCCAGTCCACGATGCATACAAACTTACAGGTAAGCATTCATTTCACTGTTTTCATTGTGCAGGAAAAGTATTTCTTAGTAAGACAACTCAGCTGGTGATTTTCAGATATCATCTTCATCATCTTCATCCTGAGAAGATCCTGCCTGATTGGATGCACTGGCTGAGGCAGCAGCGAGCTGTGCCTGTTGAGCTGCTTGTTGCATCTGTAGCCATTCCTGCTGTGCCAGTTCTGCTTGCTGTTGTCTAGCCTAGAGACACGAATTTAATTGTTAAGGCCATACATAGCTCATGAAGAATCTCTAGAACAGATTCTCTTTCAACACATTTTTATCTGTACCTGCAGATTCCTTCTAAAATATATTTCTTTATTAACTGCATATGCAAAACCACATTGAGAAGTACCTTAATTTGTACCAAGAAGTTTAGCTATACTCTCTCTCCCTCTGAAGACACCACTATTTTGAGGCCTTACACTTACAAAAACAACAGACAGAAACCAGTGTACTTAAGGTCCACTGTAACAACTGTGCTGAACCACTAACTAATGAAAAATTTAACTGAGGCTAAGCAAAGGAAACTTTAGACATCAGTTCCAAGAGATCTTAACATTTAATCACAGTTCAGAGATGAGAACAGCATTGCTTTGTTGATTACAAATACCAAAACTTCCAATTATGAAATCATCCAACTGAACCACAGAGACACACATTATCACAGAAACAAAGCAAGCCATTATCTTACTTTGCTAAGCAATCTTTGCAAAACAGAGCAAGGCATGGTCTTCTCAAATTCAGGTATGACAGCTGAGGATGGCTTTGCTACAGAAAAGTACAGACTTCTACTGAAAAGTACAAAAGATTCTACCAAAACATTTCAAATAGTTCAGCTGATGAATCTTGATTTTTCTTTCCAGGGTTTTCACTTGTTTGTTGGTAACTCCTGTTGATTTCAGCAATATACTAATTAATTGTGTTACAGTTACAACTTCAATTTCTATTATGGGTGACCATTAAGAAAATGTTCTCAAAATGAAAAATTTCCAGTTTATTTTACTCTTCTACTTTTACAAGTTATCACTAAGACTATTATAATCTCCTTTCTAATCCTACTGCACTCACTGAATTTTCCCATTTTTTTTCCAAAGTATCAATTTTTTTTTCAGTTTTGCAAACTACAAGATGCCAAAAGATAACGTCTGGAAAACAATCCAACCCTGTTTATCAAGTTAGCAATGTGAAAAAAAGGTGAGTGTTCCCTTTTTATTACAAAGTGCCACATTTTTCTCTGTTCTGGCAGTAAAAAAATACAGAAGTAGAAATCTCTTCTCATGAAAACTTTTCAGTATTTCAAACTTCAAGTGGTAGCACAGTTACAAGGGTGGAACACAATTTAAGATGTCGTAAGGTTTCAAAGGAAAGGCAGCAGCATCTGTCCACGTAGGAAGGCACACATTTTATCAGCCAGGAGGGGGCTCCCTACTGAGCCGGTGCAGTGAAGGTAACTGCACACTCAGAGAGCTGACACACGGGCATGCTCCAGCACACAGAGCTCAGCACCTCACACGGGATGCATCACTCTGTCAGTGCCCACCCTCACAGCGACATCTGTAATGACAACACTTCACCATTGCAGAAATGGGAAGAGAGAAAAAACCCACATACCGAGAATTCCATTGAGCTGGAATGACCAAGAAGCTCTATAGCATCTGGTAAACTTAACTCATTTACTGAACAACTCCAGTGAGGAAGCCCCAAAAAAAACCCAAACCTGTGAAGACCCTTGTCTTGCACAAAAACTTAGACATGAATATTGGGATTAGACATTCCCTGACTTCAAATATTTACAACCATCCAAGCTAGAGGGATCAAATATTCATAACAATAACAGGCAGGTATTTTCAAAATAGAGCAAGAAGTCAGCATTAGTGTCATGCTCTAGAATATTAAAAAGATTAACACAAATAAATAAGCATGTATGCATGTAACTATTTTTAAGACTAATTACAGTACCTCCAACAGCACATTACAGCTACTATTTTTGAAAAATGAGACTGTCATCCTTGAATCTAAGCAAACATTTTCCATATTACCAAATACTATTTTTAAAAAGCATTCATACAATCTCGTCAAACTGGCATGCACTGTCTTAAATTAGAAATTAAGGCACAGTAACAGAATTTTAAAAGAATATTCTTCAAGTTGTTATTCCTTAGATGAAGTGTGGCTTGCATTAGGTGGTTTCAGAAATTTTTTTTAATTTATTTTTTTCAGTGATACCCTTAATACACCTTGGTTTTGCTGCTTTTTTATTTTGTGTATCACACTGAGTTACTTGCACAAAATAGTATGTACAAAACAGGTATCAAATAGGTACACAACGCCTATTTGTAAATCTTCTCCAAAATCCAGAAGCAGTCATAATGGTCCTTCTAATTCAGTACAGTCAAACAAGAGTTAGTTACATGTGACTTGATCATAACTAGTTCATTGCAATAGCTACATGCTATGCTGAAATTTTAAATGCCTTAAAATTCATCATGCAATAAAGATTAAAGTAGTTGGCATGTCATGAGATGAAAAACAACAGTCTCAGCAAGATAAAAGTATTGCAGAGGGGAGAGAAGGTCACAGTAATCAGACATTAACTGAATAAGCATTTTCATCAGAGGAAATCGGAGTAAGCAAAGTGAGAAAATAAGACTCTGGCCTTGGTTAAGAGAAAAGAGCAATACCAGATAATTTTCCAAGCTCTTCGTTTAGACAATGGTCTTGTCAAACTAAGAGTAGTCGAGAGAAAGATGGTGGAGAGAAAGAAATAAATAAGATTTTAGTCAAACTGGGAGATGATAGACTATCTGGGAAAGCTGGAAGGGGATAAGGCTGGGATGAAGCAGAGTGAGTGGGTGCGTGTGTGTGTATGTGAGTACACTATTTGCAGGCAAATGCTTTTTCCATGCCTCAACGGCCTCTTTAAAAATTTATGCATGAATTCACTCAATTATAGTCTTGCCAAGAATAAAGTTTGTTTCCAAGTAAAAGAAATAACATTTGTGCACTGATGGTCAGAAACAGAAAAGCCATTTTCACTTTTGAATGCTTCAAAATGGGTAATTTCCTAGAAACCAACTGTTATTCTTTCACTTCATCAACTAATTCTTAATGTATTCTCCATGATAGACTGGAAATACTCAAGGAGCAGCAAAACCCCATGCTTTTTAAAGCTAGAATATTAAATATGTTCCCATACAAAGTCCTGTATGTCAAATCACAGAAATATCAATTAGCAGCCTCTTATTTGTTAACTTCAGATTCGCCAATTCAAGCAGGCCACGGTCAATAGCACCTTAGATGCCACATCAGTTCCCAAGGAAGGGGATATTTCTTGAGGTGTGCACACATTTGTGTGGCCCTAGACCTGCAGCATGAATTATTCCAACCCCATCAGGACAAGTATTGCTTCACTTACTTGTGCAAATAATTCCTGTTGCTGCCTTAGTAGCTCTTCTTCCGGAATGCCAAGGTTCTCCAAGCGTGAACTGGCCTTTCTTCTCTTTAGTGCTACTGTTTTGCATTCTTGTAAGACTTCTTTGACTTCACTGATATAGGAGCCAAACCCCAAACTTTCTAGCGCTAGAAAAAAACAAAAAAAGGAGAAAAGACATTGTTTACCTTTTACAAAGTTTCAGATAATAGATATTGATTTGTTTAGTTAAAACAACAAAAAACGCAAAACATTAGGTAACTTTCCTATCATCTGGTGACAAACATTTGGTGGGATAATTCTAGCCTCAGGAAGATACTAAATTTTCAGTTATCTAGGTAGGATGGTATGTTTAAGACTCAAAAAATAGAAACACTGAGTTTTGATGAAATAGCAGCTCTGATAGAGTACTAATTACTTATCTCTATTCTTAAAAAGATCTGACAGCTATTTTCCCTCTCTTTTCTGCTATGTCCTGTAGGAATACATGTTTTTAGGCTAAAAAACTTAAGGTTTGTCAAGTACAACCAAAGAAGATTGTACTTGCAGAGCATTCAGGGCTTTCAGATCCATTGTGCTAGAGACAGGCATTTTTCTCCAAAAGACCTCTTTTCCCCATCTTTTCTATACCAGAATCGACAACATTTATACAGTTAAGAAGTCCTTCCTAACTGAATTTCTATCTGAATTTTCTCTCAGAGATTCTACCTTTCCAGGTTTGCAAGTCTTCAGTAGAAGGTAAATTAGCAATCTATAGCAGAGCAGAAGTGATGCATGTAAAGTGATCACAGATCCTTCAAAAAGGCAGAAATAAATAATATTATGTTGGGTTGCCGAATTTTAACTTTTGTCTTTTAGTATCTAAATTCCTCTATATAAAATGCATAGTTCACACATATAAAGCTATATAAAGTTATGTATAAGCTCTTTATTGTTTTATTTCTCAACAGAACCCCTTCTATTTATCTCCACATTAAAATGTATTCAGAAGCTAAAATCTTGCACTTTTATCTGCCCAAAGAAATCGGTAAAGCAGCTATATCCTGCAACAACAGTTTTTTTAAAGAATGCAAAGGTAATGGAAAGGATTATAAAAACCCAGGTAGCCCATGTGACAAAAGGCAGTTTCCTCATGCACCATTTACTACGACATGCCTCCACACACACCCAAAGTGAACCTACTACAGAATATACTGGAAACATTACATAAACACCAATTCTACTAGAAACAAGTATCAGTTTAATAAAAAACATGGTTAATTTCCAGCATTTACACAATTCAGAGTTTACAATACAAGAGTTGCTTTAACCTTTATCTTAATTTCAAACTTTTGTGACAAGCTAAGAAATAGCACTAAACTGCACAACAGCAACCAACAACTGGTTACAAACAAGATCTTTCTTACAGTAACTCAGACAATATTCTAACACCAGTTTTGTAAGCAACATTTTCCTAGCCATAACTACAGCAGCACATCATGGTACCATAATCTAAACAATAACCCAAGGGCATTCTATAAGTTTTCAGCTTCCAGCTTGGACTAAGGCAGACAACTCACACACTGTGTTCTTCAACAGGGCGGTGGGTGCTGCCCTCTAGTCACACAGCACTGCCTTCCCTTTATCAGGGAACACCTGGCAAAGAAATTCACATCATACTTATTTCTTAAAAAAAAAGTAGTTAAAAGGCAAACTGATTTAACTGATTTAGAGATAATCAAATTACTTCAGAGACAGTATGCCAGTTCAGCCTCAGCCCACACACAGACACTGGAAACACTTCTTCCAATTAGCCCACAGTTTCTAGGAGAATTACCAAAAAACTTCAGAAGCTTGTTTCATCCAGCCTCAGCAGAGAGGAGGCAAATCCATGTCTCACAGTCCAGAACTGGTTATCTTAATATTCTACACATATTTAAGAACTCATTCAATTTTAAAATGTAAACAGTATATACAGTAAACTTCTTTAAGTCATACTTTTTAAACCAAACTGAAGAAATCTACAAGTCTAACATCACTAAGACAAACCATCACAGCAAAACCAGAGGTATTTGTCCAAAGACCAGGCTTGGCAATCTGCTGCATCAGAGTATGAGTAACTGCTGAGTCTGAAGTTAACAGCAAGATGTGTTTTTACAGAAACTTTACATGGTCTTTAAAAGAAAATAAATTAATGCAAAGAACTTACAATTGTGAATTGAATATAGCACAGACACAAAAATAAAATTCAACCCCCCCATGTGATACAACCAAGACAGATTTTTACAACTATTCAATATAACAAAGCTATAAAGAACCATAAATGATTATGATGTATGCATCATAAATCTACTGCATCAAAATTCTACTGCCTGTGAAACAACTTACAAAGTTTACCATCTTCCTGAAGCACACCAAGGCTTACAGAACACATAAGAATCATATGAATGGAAGGAATATGAATCCCTTTATACCAGCATGGTGCTAAAACATGGGACAAGTGCTTACTACTCTATCAGAGCTGCTATTTCATAAAAACTCAAAGCCTTTTTATTTTTTGAGTCTTAAACATACCATCCTACCCAGATTGCTGAAAGTTCAGTATCTTCCTGAGACTAGAATTATCCCACCAAATGTAAACAGCTGAATTCCAAAACATAGCGTTTGAGGGGGATAACACAACTCATATTTACAAACACCAGATCACAATTATCCTTCCCTCAGTTTCCTCCTACTCTTAATGACTGCATGAAGGTGCAGGTCTCTGAGTAATCAGTGACACATAGTTAGTATTACTTTTATTTTATAAAATCAAGTCATTAATATCTGAGTCTTTTAATTTTTTTGCTCCTTTCAAAGAAAAAAAGAACTTCCAAAATAAAATCCCAAACATGAACAGTCGTGTGAGACTCTTAAAATCAAGTGCTAATACACACACTGTCAGTATCCTAACAGTCCATGAAAAGAAGAGACAAGATTTGACATCAATCCACAGCCTACCTTACTGCATAACAGTTCCATGTAGACCAAGTAATCAAAGTAACCAACTTCATAAAAAAGGTGATTTTACAAGTCATCATTTTCAGAATTTAACGAAAATTGCATTTCTCCTAAAAAGCCTGCTTTGTCACAAGTCATAACACTCAAATGATTCCATTTTCTGTTCCAGGATGGAAGAACATTCATTTGCTTTCCAGAGCTGCAGATTCACAGCTGGGTTCCTGATGGTGGAACTCAACAACAAACGTGGAGATCTCCACTTACAACTATTACATAGTCTTGATGCTTTGGGGTATTCTCCAAGAAAGCTGTCTTGCATTTTGTTACCAGCAGTGAGCGTTGGCACAGTCTGAGAGCATCTATCAAATCAGGTCTCTAATGGGATGCAAGAAGCCTCTGCTTTCCCTTCCCTAGGCTGTTGACAGCACTGTGCCAGTGCCACCACACAGTAACAAGCAAACACCTCATCTGTCTGAGGTATAACCCAAGGGTGGAGAGAGCTCCTGCTCAGCACAGGGCCACACAAGCACTTTAACAGGGCAGCAAAGGAAGGGGTGTCTCAAGCACCACCATGCCAAACACCTCAGCACAGTGACCAAGGGCAGCTTCACCTCACCTCCACACAGTCCAGAGGCAGTGTCACCAACTGCACAGTGCCTCTTCCCCCTCTTCTGGCCCAGCAAAACACCTTCCTGCTTCTTGCTCCCAATCTAGGAACTTCTTGTTTACAGTTTACAGCCCCAGTCAGCCAGCAAACTCACCTGAGAGGAAGCCCTGCTCTGCCCTAAATTCTCAAAAGCCACGGGGTCACTTGTATCTGCAATGCCAGATCCAGCTCTCAGAGAGTACCAAAGCCTCGTCTAAGCAGCACCTTGTGCTTAGGCTGGACCAGGTGTGGCCATTAACCTCATTGACTTCTAAGCATTCAGAAGGAAAAAGATACAAGGGAGACCACAACCAACAGATTTCAATTGCCTCATTTGTTCCGTCATTGTCGCGAGGCTGCTGCATAAAGAGGCATTCAAAATAGCAAGTATCTAGAATGTATGAAGATGGATGAAAATGCTGAAACACTCTACCTATACACACAATCACTGTTTCCAAACTGGCAGCCAAAGCCCTCAAACCTCACAGAGGGATCATTTGCCAGCTGACCAGCATCTGAAAGGAGCTAATAGCAATTACAGCTTCCTTAAACATAAGCACAGCAGAAAATCCATTTCATCTCTAGAACATTACACAAATTGATACATTGCAATATTTTACTACAAAGTATAGATTTCATTTGAAAATAACTTTTTCTAACCCTAAGATGTGATAACACAAGGACATAGAACCCAGCAAAATACTTGGCATGGGACCATCTCTGCTGATGTTATGCACATCCACTTTAGTTTCAATTTGTTCTCCAAAAAACCCAGACTAAGCCTAGGACAGAAATAGGTGAATTTTTTTCTACAGACCACCACTACTGGGTACAAAATACTTTCGTACATAAATCCTTTACTGCCCTCAATCTTCAAGATCATATATATGCCTGTGTTAAGAACTAAATTCAAACGTTTTTTGTGGTGACTTGAAAAAACTACCAATGCATTAAAAAGCATCACACCTAAAGAATGCTTCCATGTGCAAGCACAGGTTTTACTTTACATCCTAGGCTTCTGTGATGGAGCTACTTTACTAAACTTGCAAGCGTAGGTGCATTTCATCTAACATTAAAGCTCGTACATGCTACATATTTTCTTTTGCAGTTCATGATCCAGTTAAGTACTTGAACCTCTTCTGGTGAGCAAGTTAATAAATTTCAAGCGAACCATTTTTTTTTTTTTTTGCTTAAACAGCAAATATTACTTTAAAAAATCATACAACCACAACATTTTTTAAATTAACTTGATACCATCACAGCCCTGAAAACAGCTGTACCAAAATGCTGCTGTTAATATCTCTACTAGGTAGCCGAGTAAAGTACTCTTTCACTACTGCTGCTATAAATGTGCTTGCAGCAAACACCGGTATCAACAGCTCCGGCTTAAGAAGCAAAGCACATGAGTTCTGACAAAAAACTATGCCTAACGCAGACTTGAGGATGAGGCAAGAAAACTCCTTATTTGCGACAGCATTTAAAGAAAAACAAACGAGACAGAGGGAGAACTCGCCTTTTATTCAAGCAAGCAGAAGTGTAAGTCAGCAGCACAGAAAGATACAAGGGCATAGGTCACGTTTAAATGCCTTCTGCAACAGATACGAAGATCCAACATTAAACAATGAGACTGTAAGGACAGCCCTAAAGAAATATCCTCTTTAGAGATTTCAGACAACACTGCCATGGAATAAAGCCTGGGCCCCACATAATCAATCTCCGACTATAAAGACATTTACTACATTCAGATTCTTAAAACACGAGGTCTCCATTCGAAAAAGCAGACCTCGTTTCCCAGGTACGAGGAAGAGATATGGTGACTTCACTCACAGCACCGCAGGTTCTCTGAAGCACAAAACCGGAGCTGGTCCTGAGCAGCAGGCTGGGAAGCCGCTCTAACCACACAAAGACAGCCTCTCCTACAGAGCGCCTGGCCAGCCGGACAGCACACGCTTCTCCTCCACACCCTCACCAGCCCTGCCTTTGTGTCCTACGTAGCTACAGGCAAGCGGAGAGCAAAGGAGCAAAAAGCGGTGCGGGACAGGAGCGGCTCACAGGTGCCCGACCCGGCACGGCGGCCGCGGCTGCTCACCTTGTATGACGTGTTCCGGGGAGATAGTTTTCTTCTCCGATTTGTTGCAGATCTCGTTGGCCTCGGAGGAGATGAGGTGGATGAACTCAGTGCAGCAGTTGACCACCAGCTCCCGGGCGTCGTTCGCCACGCGGACGTTGGGCAGCGTCTCTTTGATCATCTTGTTGATGGCAGCCCTGGGGATGGTGAGGTCGTCGTCGTTGCCGGACGACGAGGCCATCCTGGCTGCGCTCGGCTCACGGGCTGCGCTCAGCGCCCGCGCGGGGCTCCAGGGCGCGGGGACCCGGCGGGGGCGGGCGGGGCCGCGGAGGGCGACGTCGCCTGAGGGGCGGGGGACGGCGGGGGCCGGGCCGGGGGTCGCTGCCGGGCCGGGGGGTCGCGGAGCCGGGAAGCGCTGCTCGGGCTCAGGGCTCCCTCGGCCGCGGCGCCTGCCACTGCCGCCTCCGCCACATCCTTCGGCCGCCGGCGCCGCTGCCTTAAGATCGGTCTGAGGGGAGGCGAGCGGCGGAACCCCCGCGCGCGGCGCGGCTCGGCTGGGCTCGGCTGGCCCCGGGCGTGCGGCGGCCGCGAGGCGGAAACGCTCCGACTCCGGCTCAACCTGCGAGGGACGGCGCTTCCGCCGGAAGCCGGAACAGCTTCCGCCGCCGGGAGCGCCGGAAAGGCCTCGGTGCCACGTGCGGGCGGCAGTGAAGGGTCCTTCAGCCGCCCCCTGGGCCGGGAGCTGCGCCCGGGCCCCACCCAGCCCCCTGCCCGTCCCCTCGGCTCCGGCAGTGGCAGGGGATCCGACAGCCCCGCCGGGCTTGTCCCCGAAGCGGGACAGGCTCGGTGCTTCATCCGCAGTTAATTCACGATTTGCAGGCAGGGCTGGTTTTCCTCGGCAGCCATCTATTACACTCTATTTTATGCTTTCACTCCATAACCAGTAGTGTGGTGGTTGTATGAGACAGAATTAGCCAGACCACGATAGTGTTTGTGGAGGGCTCATTAAACCCACAGTCCTGGTCTTGCCTTGCAAAGGGAAAAAAGTGCCCGGGAATGCAGCCCAGCCCGAGCTGCAGGCCAGACACAGCCACAGCTGAGCGGCACCGAGGGGCTCCCGGCAGGCCCAGCCCTTCTGTGGATGCCTCTGTCCCGTACCCTGTGCTGGCCCTCAGCAGGTGCCGAGGAGATCTCGGCCTGCAGAGCGGGGGTTCGCCAGGCTCCCTTCAGCCCCACCAGCACTCTGCTGTCCTTTAATTCCCGCTTTCTCCTTTCAGCCTCGCTGCTGTTCCACCTCTGTTGGGCTCCGGGCACCCGGTGTTTTCCTGGAGGTGTGAGTTAGGAACTGCCTGGGGCCTCCTGTTGTGCACAGCGGCTGCGGCGGACGCTCTTGTCCCCTCAGTCCCCGGCCTGCCGCCCTAGGGAGGTCCCTGCATGCCTCGGCACCCCGGGCCCCACCTAAAGGGTCACAGCTCCACAGGGAGCCGGGCATTCGAGCCCTGCGTTAGCCGCAGTGCTTGGTTCCCGCAGGAGCTTTAAGCTCCTCTGGGAGAGGCAGGGTCGGGCAGGGCGGGGCTGCTGCAAGTCCCAGCACGGAATTCGATGCTGGCTCTGTGAGAGAGTACTGAGGGAAAGAGAAGGACAGCTCCGGCATGGGAGGGAGCTGCGCTGGGCTCTGTGGGTGAGCCAGGGACAGCTGCTGCCGTGTGCCGAGGAGCCAAAGCCCGCAGGCCCGAGGGACACTCGGCCTGTGCCTCCGCGGGCAGAGGCGGGCCGGGGTCAGGGCACGGGAATGCCCCGGGCAGCAGCGGGGAATGCCCTGCAGCCACGGCCCCTGCTCGGCCTCGGCCGCTGGGAGGACTGGGCTGAGAACAAACAAGGGAAAAGACCTGATCTCCATGAGAGAATTTTGGTTTAACACATACTTACTAGGATAGCTTGGAACAGGAGGGTTCTGTGTCAGACACCGAAAGGACTGAAGGCATTGTGTGGATTGAGATTACTTATTACTGACAATACTTTGTTTTCAAAATGTAGTACCCAGACAGTAAGAAGATATTTTATTTTAGGATAAAAAACCATTTTATCGCTCACTAAGTGCAATATGCTAGTAACCATTGCATATAAAGGAAGCATTCAGAATATTATAATATATATTAATAATAAATATTCTACTAGTTACACTTTAAGATTGATAAGACTTTCTCTTACATTGCTGATAAATAGATCTGACTTTGGAAATGAGAATGCCAGTGTGATTGAGTGATTACTGTACCAATTCTATTGTTTTGCAGAGAAAGGAAGAAAGCTCACAACTTTATAAAAGTAGTAAAGCTCAGTATGTTTATTATGGCGCCGGACACATGCAGAGAAAACTCTCCTCAAAAAAGGCATGCGTACCTCTGAGAACTTCAGATCTCCTTTTATCCACCTCTGAAATACATATGCATACAGTTTCACAATAGGTTCGTACATATTCATTTTTATGTGTTTCGTGTGACTTTTACCACTAGTTCCTTTTTATCAGAAAGAATTCCGAGGTCAGGCTGACTTGCCTTACAGCAGTCCCTGTCTCTCTCTATCATCTTCTGTCTCCTCCCCTTTATCTCTGTCCTTCACTGAAGTAACTTCACTGAGCTTAGGCCTTGCAGTCTGGCTAAATAACTACAATTTCTAACCGCAGACTCAACTCAAAAATGTACATTTCACCTAAATTAAAATGGATTTCTATCCTGGAAAATTTTCACTTTGCTTCACTATCCTAATAAGTAAAAACATTTTTATGATATTAAGAATCTAAATAATTTGCATACTGTACAGCTCTCAGTGTGTATTATATACAAGTAAGTGAACGAGGTCAGGTTAATATTGAATGCACAAATACCAGTCAGTGTTCCTGTTCCTAAGAAAACCTCTCTGGAAAAAGCAAACACTAAACACAATAAAACTACAGTTAGAGGATTTTAATTGCAAGGTTCTGCAAACAGTAACATTCAAGAGATACACATTGAAATTAATATCTTAGCTAAGCTCAAACAAATATCTTGCATACCTTTTCATAATTACAGAGCAAAGGCATTTGAATAACACTGTGTCATCAGTAGCTACAACAAGTAATTCTAATCTGCACTATATAATCTCATTCTTATTGTGAAGGTTTTCCCAGGTCAAAGCTCTTTCTGCTTCTCCACCTTAGCAATTTGATGAAGTTGAGACTTGCACTGAAGATTTTGTCATGCTGAAAAACCATTTTGTAGAATATGTCAATGGGTAGATCTCCATTTGGATCTGCATACTTCAAAGTTGTCATTGGAGTATACAAGGTGTTGGTCTGATGGCGAAAAGGTGGATTTTCTGCAAGAATTATCTTTACTGTGTGCTGTAGAGAAGGAGAAATAGAATTTTAAAAGAACCTTTACCAAGATAGTAAAGTAAAACCCCAATTTTCAGTGGAAAAGTAGAAGAATAAAGCGCTATAATTATGTAAAACCCTGTGTATAGTTTTATTAGAACATCATTAGAAATTTTTCTTGAAATATTCAAAGGTCATAAGAAGTATTTCTTATTTATTCTTTTATTTCTGTTTCTCTATACCATGGTGATAGCAGCTGACAACTTAGTATCCTGAGTAGCCTTCCAGACAATTGTGGGTGGATATGCCCACAGTAGGTAGATCCTCTCTTTTGCAGGTCACTGTTAAAGGATCAGGACAGTGCCTTTTGCAGCAAGATCTGGGAATCTTCAGTTGACACTGAAGCTATTCCTTAGCAGCAAACTCCTGAAATCATCATCCCCTACCAGAGCTTGCCTAAACTTGTCTTCCTGCAGGAAGATCCAAGCACCAGAAACATCCATGTTTCTTTTATTGTGCCTTGTTGCCCTGGGGTGGCTGTGTGAACTTCCCTCAGTGAAGGGATCCTGAGTGAGGTGGGAAGGATAGAGCTTAACCAGGGTTGGGAACCCTGGGTGGATGTATGGGAACAATGCAGAATATTCAGACTTCACCAGAGGATGTAAAGGGCATGTAGTATCTCAATGGTATTGAAATTACAATTCATAGTTATCTTCAATACTTCAAAATGAACATTCTTTTAGTATTTTGTAGACTTTTGTTTAATGACTGAAAATTCTTTTGAATTAAAAAAAACTTTTTAATTGCATACATTACATTTAATTAAATTGAATGCTTCTACCAGAAAACCACTGCACTCATAAAATACAAAGAAAAAAAAAAAACCAACAAAGAAAAGAAGATGATTTTTTGATGAGTTACCTCTGCAACATCTTCAGCACTTTGTCCCAGGCTCTGGAAAATTTGTTTGTAATTTTTAAGGTAAATATTAGTAAACATCTCAGCTGTTTCTTCATCTGCAGCTGAAAGATCCATTTTCATTCCATCTTCAAAAACTTTTCTTTCAAATTCTGTAACCACTGGGCCTGGTTCAATCAAACTTAACCTGTTCAAAAAAAAAAAAGGTTACCTGGCTGTGACTATTCTCCAGGAAAATACACCCCTCAATCCTTCTCCAAAAGGAGCATGACAAATTGCACTAGCAAGCAGTATAAAACAACAGCACTTTCTGTAAAGGCAATCCTTACTGCATCACTGCTGTCCTGCTCCTCCTACCCACCCACACACAGGAGTAGAAACCTGCACAGCTTAATAATCAGAGAAGTGCTGTAACTTAATTCATGACATAAGTGAGTGCAGTTGTTACCTGCTGTCTCACAGCTGTGGAATCTAAGGGTGATTTATTCACAAGGACTTACCAGATATTAAGAAAAAGAATTAATGGATGGTAACAAAATTCATTACTTCCTGGACCAAATCCTGCATAGGTTTCTTTGTTTCTCATGATAAACCTAGAAGTAGCTGAAAGAGATGGGGGAATTGCCCAATCATGGATTTTCTTTGTCAAGGTGTTAGTGTTACATAATTTAAGATCCCACCACGATATAATAATAAAATACAATACAGAGATTTTTACTGTGGGTGCACAGATTCTGGCTGCTGCCAAATCTGAAAGTTTTTATTTTGCCCAGTAGTGTATTATAGCAAATCACTGAAATACAGTTCCAGGTCAGATTTTTCCTGGTTCTTTTCTCAGGCAGTAATAACACCCAGCCACTTTGTTTATCAAAACACTCCTTGGGATTGGGTCTCTTACTGGACTTGAGTTCTTCAGGTGATGTTCTAAAGGCTGTTGACCTTCACAGCAGAATTCCAGCTACTGCTGGAATTAAAGCCTTTTCTCTTCCATCACTCTTCCCATTAGACCTTGAATTAATCTTTTTATACTTCCTTTTATAAGTATAAAGTATAAAAACCTCCTTTTTGCTGTGTCTTATACTCTTGAAATTTCATTATGAATTGTGGTATATCATTATTATGTATTATTACATCATTATTATGCATGATTACATTATTAGGTATTATTACATTTATTTTAAATCCCTCCCAACTTTGCAAAGCAATATGCAGAATCAGTTCTGTCTCTGAAATTCCACAACAGCAGCTGTCTTTTGTTCAACAAGGCCTAAATGCTCAGACACACAGAGATGCAATGGATATTTACCAGTTATTGGAGTTTGCACAAAGAATAGTGGCAGAATTAAATAAGTGTGAATATACATGTGACAAATCAAACCTGAAGTCCCACAGATGATGAACAGGACTGGTCTCCTAAATTCTATCTAAAATGTTAGGAATAGTACATCACACTTCTCCCTTCCCTCCCACCTTCCTTCATTACAGGTGTCTCACCCTGTAACATTCTGATGGGTTTGCACTTGCTCACTCTCTCTGATGAGCCCTTGAACTTTTTTATCTGTGAACTGCCTGAGAAGGCCATTGTCCTTTCTAAGGGGAAAAATCACAGTGATCTTATTTCTGTGATATTGTATGTAAGAATCTGTTTTCAGAAGTGTTGTGTGAACTGTATTTTATCCAAAGCTAAATAACCTTTAACTGTTCAAGAGAACATGTTTATTCTAACATCTAGATCTTTTTATTTGCTTATATAATGTGAAGAGTGTGGTCATTTCTATGCCTTTTGTGATGTGCAGTTATCAAGGGCTTCTCAATCTGTTTAGCACCAAGCTTTAAAGATATTTTTCCTACCTCTGAATATATTTTAAACTATCTAAAATACAATTGACACAAGTGGATCAATACCATTTACACCAGTGGATCAATGCCATTTACACCAGTGGATCAATACTTACTGCAGTTTGAACTTGAGTGCTTGTATAGCTAAACTTTCACAGAATCCTTCCACAGCAAACTTAGATGCAGCATAAACATCATTAAATAAGATACCTGATGGTACAAACAGAACATCCTGAGAATGTGATTTCATCCAACATACTAATAGTTTGATTTTAAGAACTCATCCCAAAATTTCTACAGTCATGCTGGAAAAACATTAGAAAAATCCTTGTGCACACTGAATCTAAATACTAATTTTTGCAATGTTCTCAAAATTGCTTAGTCTAGCAAAAATGCTTGACTAATGCTTTTCCTCCCCCTAGCTGATGCTGTGGTCTCCTTGGATGATATTATTTTGTAGTCTAAGATATGAAAGTGTCTGTAAATATAATACCATCTGCATTATTTATCAGCAAGAATTTAATAGGCTCTAGATGAAAACAGAGGCTGAGTGTAATGCAGGAGATACAATTATGCAAGAAATCCAGCTTGCATCTGAGTGATTTAGAGAAAGCACTACATCAGTCCATTGAGGTGGAGGGTAAGTGTTGTATTAAAATACCAATTCTTGGAGACTGATGGAGGACCGTTGGCTCAGCAGAATAATCCATGTAAGATCAATGCCACAGCTGTAATAAAAAAAAAACTAAAAAAACCCAGCTAGACAGGATGAAACACAAGAGTAGGACTATCATTATCTGTTACTAAAATTTGACTCTCAAGTGTTGTGGGATGAAAAACTTTACAAAAAGGTGGTACAGTTGTCCAGGATTGGATTTTATTCTATCACATCTGTGCAGAGCACAGTAAGTATGTTTGTCTGTTCTCCTAATTTTTTCCAAGAGAAAAGAGAAAAGAGAAAAGTAATTTTCTCTTTAGGGCTAAGCCCTATTTTCCAGATAATAAAAATACAACCTAAATTTTTTTTAAATTGTAGAGTTTAAGTTAAAACTGTAAAAGAAAAAGACCCTGCATGTTTTGTTGCTAAAATGCTGTGAAAGTACCTGGGTACTCTAACAGTATCTGGATGCATAAAACTCACCAGCTGCTTTTTATAGTTGGACCTTCAGCATTACAAAGCACAAGAGTCAGATATGCCAGCTCCTACTTTTTTTTTTTTTTCCCTAAAAGGAGGAAAGCTTTGGATTTTGAACACTGAACTCTTAGTTCAAGTAAAGAGGAAAACCAACTTTACCTTGTATTCCCATAACACTGCTTATGATTACTATATGCCCACTCTTTCTCCTCTTCATGTCAGGCAGGATCTCCTTCAGGAGCCGAACCAGGCCAAAGAAGTTGGTGTCCATCACAGTTTTCATTTCCTCAATGCTCTGACATTCAATAGGCCCAATGAGCCCCATTCCAGCATTGCTCACTGCACAAAATTGGAGACAACAGCAAGCAAAAACATCCATAAATATAAACTTGTAATCATTATTGGAAAGCATTTGAAAGGAATGTGAGGATTAAGGATTAAATGAGCCTAAATAATCCTTAAAGAAAGGATTAAAAGATGTTAGTTACTAGAGTGTTCCAAGCACATTTGAGATTTCCATATGTCTTTCTCTTTAATTGTGCTTTTAATCAAATTTAAATTATCTGTTATTTTTCATCTTAACTAATTTATTTCTCAATAGTCCTTCTTTAAAAAAATATTAAGGGATTACAGAAAAATGAGTCAAGAATTACTTGTGTTTTTTTTATAATTCAGTATTGAGAATTGGTAGCTACAGTCAATACTCACAGGAATTAATAGAAATCTTCAAAAAGTGACAGACCAAGCCATATTTTGGTCTGGTTTTCCTTTTAATAACATTCATGTATCTTCAAGAGGAAGTAACCCCCCAACAAAATAAACAAACACACAATTCCATTGATTTTTATTTGCCTTCTGGATATTTATAAGTGGGGAATGATGATAGGACTGGCATTCTGCTCTGGAAGTAGTACATCAAATTAGAGTATAATAAATTTTGCAGAAATAGTTGTTAAGCACTGCTTTAATAATTAATCAGAAAAAAGGCAGATTCATAATTTCCTAGTAGATAAGATTTAATAGCTGATGGTGTAAGATAAAATACTAAGATACTAAGTATTTATTTCCACTAAGATACTAGTATTTATTTTTAGCAAAACAATATGGAAACACTTGTTGCTGAATGATTTGTAAAGTACAATTTCAATTCTTAATGCAAAATGGAAATATCCCTATTTTTTTTTGCATTTGTTTGTTTACTTGCTAATTCCCAATGCTGTTGCTTTCTTAGTACAGACAAGGGTTACCTTCATTGTAACTATGCTTCATCAATAGGGTGCTATGCTTCATCAATAGGGTGGAAAGTCTTGCTCATGAAGGTGCCAGTTTAGGCAAAATTTCTCACATTTACTAAAAAATGTATGGTTTTATCCAAGACACTTCCCTGTGATCAAGTTTCTCCTTTGTAAACAGGGAAAACCAGCTTCCCTACTTCATGGGAGCAGGGTAAGATTTAATCCACTTATGTCTGCTTGAAGTCTTGAGAATCTTGAATCAAATATACTATGTAATTATTATTACTTTGATAATTTAAAAAAATACACTAGTAAGACTTCTCCAGGGTATTTGAGACAGTGTTTTGCAGAACTCTGGTATCTGTTGATAGCACACACATCCTGTACTTGCCCAGGACATCGATCCTTCTGTCAGGGATGCTGTTCACACAGGTTTTAATAGACTGTTCATCACAGACATCCAGTTGTTTAATCTCGAGGGTTTTGCCCAGCCTGTGACCTGCAGCTGCCTCCAGTGGCTCCCTCTTGGCCAGGTTCCGCATTGTGGCAAACACTGCAACACACCAGAAATCAAATCCTTATTGTGCCACTCCTACTGAGAGGGGTTAAAGAACAGTGCTTTTACATCCAGGTCTTAACATCAGTGATAGCAACAGATAAAAACTAAAAGTTCAAAGATTCTATTTTCAACATATATTGTCACTAATTTCCCAGTCTGGTTCTGAAATCCTCGAGAAATTAAAAAGAAGAAGCTATTAATAATGAAAAACATATAGATATGATATATAAAGGATCTGGCACCAAAATATTAAAAAATGGGTATCAAATTATGCCACTAAATTGTTTTTAGGTACTCAAAACCTAATTCTGTCTTCCAGATTTCCTTCTTTTTTTAGTCACAATATTTAGCAGGACAACCATCATTTTATTAAAAAACGAAAGACATAATTCCTTAGGTTGCAAAAAAATTTGATTTTGTAAGCTACTTCTAAAAATTGAAATTAGTTTTTATTGTAGCCTAATGGCTCAGAAAGCTCTAGATCTGCATCCAGTCAGTTAGCAGTAAAATACTGTTAGTATGAGAGACTGAATTTTCACAGACTGCTGTGTTCCCCTTGCCATCCATTTTCAATCACAGCAAATACCCTGCTTTGCAGCAACAAGACAAATCCCAGCCCTTTTGTTCACCTGCCTACACAGGCTTGGAATAATGAAATGAGCTTTAAGGAAAAAAATGCAAATTTAGAAACTGTTTACCTAAATTAATTGCTTTGGTCTTCAAATGGGCATGGGCCTGTATATGTACAGATTTTAGTAGCCAGAAGCAAAGCTACCCACAGCTGTGAATGTATACCCAGAGCAGCATAATATTAAAGATGTTTTCAGATATTTGGTTTTTACTACTGTCCTTTTTCATTGCATGTGTGTGTACACTATTCAGTTCCAACAGTTGTTCCATTCCAATAAAGGTACAGAAATATCAAATGCTTACAGAAATCAGTATATTTTCTCTGTATTTTCTTGACAGTAGAAGAGGAGACAAACCAGAAACAAGTCACCAAACTGAATACAACCATCTGTTAAATCACAGAGAAAAAACCAGCATCATCTCAAGTAGTATGTTTTTGTAAAGATAAAGAACAGACACATTATTACCTTGAAATCTTTTCTGTTCATCTTTTGCCATTTTTACAGCTATTGCCAGCCCAATTCCTGAGGAGCAACCTGTAATGAGGACATTTCTTCTTGCCATTCTCTTCACTGAGTGGTTCAATTCTTCACAGGAGCAACAATATAAATGTAACTACAGCATAATGTGACTGGTCTTTAATACTATCTGCACCTTCCCTGAGTCAACAAATCTGAAAATGCACACCTGGACCTTGCATGATTAAGGGATAATCTTCAAATAAACAAAATAGAAGCAGATGCTCCTACATGTGCTTATAATCTGCATTATCAAAACTGATGAATACAGAATTTGATCAATCTATAAACTGAGGCACTTGTAAACTCCATGGATTGTTTTTAATAGAATACAGCTTGCACAGTACTGACTGGAAAAGCCTTTTCCACATTTGTAAGTCTGTAGTCCTAAGTCCTCCACTTACAGCTATGGACAGTAAACTGCACCCAGAGTGGGGTCCCTCTGCTAAAGCTCTTCAGAATTCCTACACCTACAGCACCCTCCTGGTTCTTTTACAACACATTGAGGAATAGATTTCTTCCCTGATGCCTTACTATTGTAAGAGTCTTAATAGGCATTACAGAAAAAGATCCCAAATTGCAAAATGGGATGTAGATTCTGAAAGAGACAAACTGTTGGACAGACTCCTGACATTTCCTTTTGGCACAGTTCCCAACCAAGAACAGAGAAAGTTAAAAGCATGCTGCAGTGGAGAACTGACAGGAAATGTTGAACAGACAGCTTCACTTCATTCCTGCTAAGACTGAAATCTCCACACTTCTGATTCTGTAATTGACATGTCAGAAATTTTTAAAAATAAGAACTAACCTGATGTCTAGGTTTTGGAGAGAATATTTTACATATAAACTGTGGATTAAAGAGAGGCATTTGAGCTGGCACTTCAGTGCAATTCATACAAGTAACTGTAGGTATACTACATTCAGGAAGAAAATCAGTCCCTTGTTTCTGTCCTGAGTGACAGGAAAGAGAAAGACCTTAATAAGCAATTAGCCTTATGAACAGCATTCAGCTAATTGCAATGCCATTATACACAGTAAAATGTTTTTCAAGACTTAACAACCCCATGTAAATGCAACACACTTCACAAGAATGAACTTAGTGTTTCAGGACTCAGGATTTGCATAGATGTAAATTGGTTAGTAACTCAAGAAAAGTAGGATGCTACAGAAATATTTAACTGAAATTATATTTAAAATAGTCCATCCTTTGCAAAAGAAATAAACTGGCTTGAACAGTATAAGTGGAATTTTTCTCAGGCAAGCAACAAAACAGCAAAATATCTAAAGATAAAACATAATTATGATTCTCCTTATTTATTAGGTTTGACCCAGAGTTTAACCAGATAAGTTGGTATACAGACAAAACTTCAGTGCAAATGTTATTTAGCTGATTCAGAGATTAGGCAAATTGCTTTTGCTGTTCATGCACATTTATATTTAGTGCATGTAGGAGGAGCCAATGAGGCTTTATGCAATGCTAGTTAGTGGAATTCCATTAGTGTTGTGATGCAGCTGCAATTAAGATTGGTTATATTTTCCACTTGAAATCCTGGTTTGAAGGGCTTATGTATTCCACTGCTTGAAAAAAATCGGTCTGAAATGTGATGCATACATTTCTAGGCTGAAGGCAAAGTGATGTGCATAAAGAGAGTTAAAAATAAAGGTAGCTTAATTTGCAATTATTGCACCAGTCAACCAAATTCTAAGATCTTCCCTTTACAGTTAGGTAGAGAAAGAAATAGCTCTACTTAAAACACACAGTATATTTATTTCTGTAAGTAACAGTGGTTTTTGTCACATCATGATTTTCACAATAGCAGAATAAATAATCTGAATCTGCAGCAATACTTTAGATGAGTGTATCGTGGCTTGTCAATGGTAGCAGAATGTGTGGCTGGTTTTGTAGAACCACTTAATGTGGAACATTGGCATTTGTGGAACGTGTTTACATGAAGGGAAAGAGCCAGTACTGCCCAAGGAGTTTAGCAAACTGTCACTTGCAGAATTTCTGGATGCCTCAGATAGGTTTGTTGGCTAAGACACACTTTTAATATACAAAACACCTAACTGAGGCCTGATATTCATACTGAAATACATTCAGTTCTTTTCCTCTTCTTTACATCAAATAACTTTAGTAACTTGATTTCTGAAGTATGAATCACATGTCTTAATGCACATAAATCCTGTGTGCATTAATCAGGCTTAGACTGATGCCTCAAAAGCATATTTGCAGTTTCTGATGCTTATGTAAATATAAAAGTGGGGCCACTAGCCATTCATACAAGCTTAATTATGTAATGCTTTTGGAAACCTGGAAATAAATATGTTTTAGAATGCATAGTTATGATGTGAATTTAATCAATGAGAATTTTTGTATGGATTTTTGTTTGATTAAAAATATCAAAAGAAACAACCTCAAGCTTTATGGCCCTGTCCCACAACCCTGTGCATCTTAAAGATACTGCTTGGAGTAAAGCAAGCAGGTTTTGCCAGTGTCTATAATCAAATCAGTGTCCCAAAACATCTTAAAAACAGATAAATTTTAATAATATGTTGTGTCTGCATCACTGCATTTGTACAAAAAAAAAGATAAAATAGTCCCAAACAAAAATTGCTAATAACATAGTACCATTGTGCTTTTAGTTAGAAGTGAGATATTAAACAAACATATAATCTAAAAACCTTGGGAAAATATGACAGCTGAAATTAATCCCTACAACTTAAAAAAATAAATTTTATTCTGAAGTATAAAAGATAAATTAATATGATATTCAATTAAGGCAATAATCTCAATAACAGCTGGAAAAATAAAAAAGTTGTCATCTGCTTCAGTACAAATAATTACATGCCTTATTTAGAAATACAACTGTAAAATGTCCTCTTGGAATGCACAGTGACAATGTCAGCAACAGCATCCCTGGGCTGCTGCTTGTCCCATGGGCAGCAGCACTCATTCCTTCACAGTTCTTGCACCTGAAACAAAATATGTGATTACCATAGCTAAATCCATTTGTACCAACATGTTACTTTTCATTATTAAACTTTATCTTACAAATTCAAGAAAACTAAGAGCAGGTCTCAAGTCCATGGCTGCCATCTCAAATTCTGATTTATGTGATTGATGCATTTTTGTTCACTGTTCTTGTAACTGAAGTGCATTTGCTTCCTCCAAGAGCACAACTTACAAATTTTCCAATACCATATTAAGTTCCAGCAGATAAGAAGGAAAATGTTATGTAGAATATTTTTGAGAAGAAATCTTCCTATACAAATCCCTGTAAGAATTTTGTACAGTTTAAATGAACATTGTCTTTTGAAATAACTCCTCTGCACGGGGCTTAAGGTTTCATGTTGGATTGCAATGTTGTTCTTAAGCTGCTAACAGTTCAGGAAGTGTCTGCAGAAACCCCATCAACAGTATCAAGGTATTAAGAGGAAAAAACCCTATGATGTCCACTAACACTGAGCAAGAAAAACAGTAAAACAAATGTAAGCTGTGTACAGAAGTAAATGCAGCCAAACACAGCATGTTTGAGGTTAGGGGGTTTTTGTTAGTTTCTAGAGTTTCACTACCCCTACCCCTCCTTTTAAAAACAAGTGAATATGCTGGAACTAATTATTCATTTATAGAAAAAAATAGAGTTTTAGGTGTCTTTGGGATATATACACAGCAGCCATGTTTACATTAGTTAGTGCTGGAGCACACAAAGAGACTACCAGCCACTACTATTTCACATCATATTATACTAAGGTTCTTGTTAATTATAAATTTTAAAAGAGGTTATGTTGGTCCTCTGTTTATCTATGTTTAGCTAGGTATTTATTCTTTATGAGGAATGCTGTACAGAAACACTTGTAAGCAGCATATAAGTAGCTTACAGCTAACAAATGAAAGATTACAGTAATTCTTATTTTTTTAATGCTATGCAGTTTTTCAAAAATGTTGTAAAAATAATTTTTTAGAAAATTCAATCATTGTAAGCACTGATTTTTTCTTATATCATTTTAATACAATTTTACTTCTCATTTCAGAAGGAACTATGGTCACAAAAAATTAGCTTGCTGTAAATCCAATCTGCCTTTTTTTTAATAAAGAAAATTACTTCAATTTCCCAGAAAAATGAAAAAAGCCATTCTTAATGTTCAGCAAGATATTTTTGATTCCTTTATTTGGAATATTTACAGCTTCTAAGGGTAGCCAAGTGCTGTATTGTTACAAAATTTTCACTGCAGATTGAAGCACAGTAAGAACAAAGAATAATTCAACTGAAAACTCTGTGACCTGGTTATTTTATGAGTCCCAAAGGGACAGAGTGGACCAGAACACAAATCAACCCTCCCAGCAATCCCTTCCCTGAACTAATATATTTTCTGTAATAAGCAAGGAAGGCAATGTATTAAGAAGAAAAAGAATAAGACAGACTGTACCCCTGGGCAAGACATACACACTGCCTCTCCACCCCTTTTCCCTAAATAGATTAGGCAATTTATTTTTTAGAACTAGGACAGAAAATTTCTGTGGAAGTCTGGTCAATCAGTCTGCAATGTGCTACTAATGGAGAAAGTGTTTTCTTACATTATGTTAATATGCTTAAATTTTAAACAAAGAAGGAACCATATAATATCGTAAATGGAGCCAGAAGCCTTCTGCAACATATTTCATGTTTACACAGAATGCTTCCAAAATCCCGTGGTTTTTTATCTACTCTACTACAATGAAAATAAAATTTCATTTCCTTGTCCCAAGTGTTGGAACACGACCAGAGCAGGTCTATTTTCAAAGCCTTTCTTATATCATTCTTAGGCCTCTTCCTACCTGGTATTCCTTAGCAAAAACAAGACAATTTGTCTGGAATGAAAGAGTCTAGTCAGCAATTGTGCAGGGGCTAGCTAGGAAATTCTTTCTTTCAGAATCATCCCTTAGAAAAGTTAGAAATTGTTAATGGTATGTGTGAAAGGCAGCAGCAGTCACTGTCCTGTTCTTGGGCATCATCAATAGCCTAACAGAATTCAAGATGGAAGAGCTGACTTGGCTTTAATTTGCAG